TGTAAGAATTCCGTTGGATAGTTAACAATCAATCGATTTGTATGTAATTAATTCACCAGTTATTTTATTTTGAATTTGAAAGTTCATTTCATTGACATCAATGTTTTTTGCAGCCAATATAACTCGATCGCGCATCCAAATCTTTATAATTTGGTACAATATTTGGCAAATCCTTTTCAATCAGTTCTGTCTTAGATTTCATAAAGTCATAGAAATTGGTAGGGAACGTAATGTATCCAGACGATGAGTAAACAGGTATTTTTCCATTACCAATATCGAGCAATTGCTTTGAAAACGTTTCTCCAGATTGGTCATTCTGCATTTGAGCGTTTTAACATATTTCCATAAAATGGATGACTTTAAGTATGCATTAAGTTCGTCGGCTGGCGTTGATCGTGGTATTACTGGTAAAGTTTGTCGAAAATCACCTGCTAATAATTACACCGCACTATCAAAGCGGTTTTGGTTCTATCGCAAATCTTGCAAAGTGCGGTCTAATGCTTCTAAAGATTTTTTGTGTGCCATTGTGCACTCTACCCAAACTATTGATCTGCATTGCTGCAACACTTTGGCCATGTTCAAGGGCAACTTGAGTGCGATGAGCTGTCCGACCGCCTTCCAACAACGTGGCTGCAATACCTGCCAAAGCAAGTGCAAGTGCAATACCATTTTGGGATCCAATCGTTGCCAAAATCATTGATATCAAAAATGTTTTTCCTGTACCACCAGGAGCATCTAAGAAAAAATCTACCTGTTCCATCGTTCTCTACTTTCCTAAGAGTATCGTAGGCGTATTTTTGTTGCTCATTTAAAAGAGGAACCTTTTTTGGAACGGTTTCTTTTAATGCCTCGGAATCATACTGAGTTTCGCGTCTCAATTCTACTTTAAATACCTCATGCATTGAGCGATTGGGCGTGGTCATTCCTAAATGTATTATTCATTTTTAAACTTAAATATTGACAAACAACGTTTGTTATAATGAAATGCAGCTCTATAGGGTTAACACTTTTATTTTGTGGGTTCCGGCTCCATCGATTCCATTCAACTTCATTCCGCGTTTCACGTTGCTCAACGGTTTGATTTGCTCTGGTATTTCTTTGACTTGCAGTGTTATGGGTTTTGCGACTTAAATTTGTACGTCTAATTGCCGGCATACTATAGTACTTATTCTTTTGTAAAAGTATCAAATTGGTCTATCAAAACGTTCCAACACTATATTAATTTGACTAACCTTGTAGAACAAACACTTCAAAAAAACACACAGTACAAATTATCCTGTAGAAGCCAATGTGAAAAGTACACTAAGAAATGGTAAATGAATTATGTAGGTATTTTGTTATTATAACTACGACCGACATATGTATTTACAATGAGCATGTAAACTACGTTTCTTTGTTTTAATGGCAACGACGTGAATATTACTGCCAGTGACATAGCATTTTATTAAACAAGTGAAATGTTCTACTTATGTTCTTCTTACATTAGAACCTCTCCTAATAATAACAAATACAACAAAAATAGAATTAGTGAAATCGGTCCAGCCACTCACGCGTGATGCCGTGACCAAGGGAAAAATGGATTATATGAAGTTTGTCACGAAGTTTGTAACACCCAGAAGGAAGGGACAGAGACCCTATAAAGTATATATATAAATGATCAGTATGTTGAGCTGAGTCGATTTAGCCATGTCCGTCTGTCTATCTGTCTATCTGTCTGTATATATACGAACTAGTCATTCACTTTTTAAGATATCGTTTTGAAATTTTGCAAACGTCGGAACTGCCCTGCAAACTGAACGATCGGAATCAAGTTCTTGTATGGAAAACTTTCACATTTGACAATGTATCTTCATGGAATTTGGTACAGATTATTTCTAAGGCAACAATGTAATCTCCGAAGAAATTGTTGTATCTACTTGACTTTGTTTGAACCTATGAAGGTTAAAGTCGACACAGTGAGTAAATCAACAATTTTAGAAAAATAAATCATATATAGGGTGATGCGTTTGGTATTTGCACACTAAACCTGCTTTATTACATTTTCTCATAGAAGATCATGTCAGAAGTGTATATGTACATATATTCAGAAGCAAGAATCAAGTCGACTGTTCGATATAAATACCGAGAACGGACAGCATTATTAACCCGACAGCATTTATTCAAATTACTTAAAGAATGTTTTCTGTCGCTGCAACAACAACAACAGCAAGAAGGATATTTTGTTGTTATTAAAATGGTGAAATCCATTAACATTCATTAGAACACTAAGGTCCTGTGCTGACAACATTACTGGCAAAGTGCACGCTAAAGTTTTTCCTCCAGAACTATCAAGTACAATTTAGGTGCAATAATCGCCCAACATCCAATATTTGACAATTCTTCAATCGATTTAAGTATGTGAGATTTTAAATTGTTATTGATGACTTTCTAACCAAACTTGGGATTGTTGAATAATGCAAATAATAAATATGCGATGTACAAAGCTTTATTGGATATAGCCGCATTTTGCTTTCACACAAGCTCTTAAATGATTCCGCCATTGGGTGCATAGTTTCAGTTATTGTCGACGATGCTGCTTATGCCAAAGATTTGTTGGACTTTCCGATTTCCGTGCCGAAATCGCTTAACTGCTTTATGCATGTTTCACCATCTCATTTTAGCTCGCTTTCAAACGGATGTTTATTGACTACGCAGAGGATACTTGGTCTAAGGTCGGAAGTCCTGAAATGCTTGCGCCATTTGTAAAAGAATTGTTTATGACCACTCCCAAGTGAATGGCGCTCAAGGAACTTTCCACACTTGTGTGAACTTCTTTACATGGCTCCATCCTCCTCATTTTTGCCCCAGTTATAGGTTTTTTTCACAAAAATTAAGCGATCTAACTTCATTCCAAGATACTCAGATCTAACTTCTTTCCGGGAGACTCCTCACTAAACCATATCAGCAGCTGAATGCTAACCACCTTGAACTCTTGGAATAAAATTTTTTGCGCCTTTTGAAAATTTTGCGTTGATTTTCTTCAGCAATGAAAACTTTTCATCTGTAAAACGGCCGTTGTTGGCCGTTGAATACGTTTCACTGAAAAAGCGGATTGCATCCATAGAGTCTAAATTGTTTCAAGACGATCAGCTGGTCGATGGGAGGCTTTCATATTGAGATCATATCGATTAAGTCCTGCCATTGATTTGGTCGTTGTATAATTCATTTCACATAATTTTCTGGTTTCTAAAGTTTTTCCGAAAAGTTGTTATGGCTGAATTGGTTCGAACCTCGCGAATACTACCAATTCTTTTCAGTCATCAACTGAAGACGTTTAGAAAAGCTGTCAAATGTATTAAGTTTTTTCGGAAGCGAATTTATTTTCCTTGTATGCATTAAAAACTTTGTAGCAGAATATATCGCAAGACTAAGTAAAATAGTTAATAATATCGACATACATATGCTATTCACTTTGATAGTTGAATAGGCATTGTTGTCAATAATTTTGTCATTGCATTGGCAACAAGAGATATTATTACCAAGCCGGTAAAGAACCTTTTTTTAACCAGAACGTAACTGACAGATGGCTGCTAACCAGACATTGACAGACGGTCCTTATACTTTTATAAATATCAGTACGAATACATAACTGGATATTGTTGTGCATGTACGTAACTTATTCGGAATGAAAACATACGTCAAGAAGTTTTCGTACATTTCGTTGCCATTTTTGATAGCGCTATATTTTTATTTTGCACTTCCGCTTAGATCCACTTAACAATTAATTTTTCAAACAATTTTCTTGGACGTCGTATATGCAGTTTTGTTATACGAATGGCTTACAGGTTCCACAGCGCCGCTGGAAGCTTCCCATGAAACTTCCAACCTTCTTGACATGTTAGTATTGCAGTGCGTATTCGGTAATAGGGTAGTTCCGTTCATTAAATAACAGGAAATACACGAAATTTCCCCATTTTAAAAATAATACACACGTTCATTAATAAAAAAATATAAAACCCCATTGTGAAACTTATAAACATTTTTTGCAGAGATTAGAACTGTACTTTTTATAGAAGTATAACTTATCAGATTAAATACTATTTTTCAAAGTTGGTTGTTGGTATATCAAAACAACAATGGGTGAACAAAATCAAAATATGTTATTGTAATTTATCTTTTTCCGACATTATTTACGTAAACCAAATGCAAATATCCATCGTTCCCACGACAGTCGGTTCTACGAAAACCGGAACGGACCCGGATTTTTATCCGGCCAAGGACTGTCAACTCGGCAGAATTCTGCCGTTTCAACAACAACAACATCCATCGCAACTTGTAAAATACGTTGTAAATATCAATAAAGTTTCCTTAAATAGCTTACTTATTTCATTAAATTAAATTAAATTTTTTATAAACTCTTTTCATTTCTTGTTGATACTGCAGTTTTTGTATCTAAAGCAGAGAACATATATCGTAATTTACGCTCTCTGTCTAAAATGACAGCAGAACCGTTGACAGAAAGAAATTGATGGATTTCGGTATTATGGAATAAGTGATGCGTTTCCAGTTTAAGAAAGAAACGAGAAAAACTCATAAAAAAGAAAACTGCGAATTTTTGTTGAAATTCGGGCGCAATATTGTGTGAAAAAAACTATAATCTGTTTAAAGTTGTAATATTGTGTATGTTCCTCATGAAATTGTTCAAATTTTGAAAACAGATGTCAAGAAAAGTGAAATTTTCGCATTATTTGTAAAATTTGCAGCAAACTGCATTGGTGATTTTTCTGCGTTTTCTGCTAAAGGGAGGGCGAAGCGCATACATACAGAGATTATTCTCATTGGTGTATAACAAACGCTGTAAGTTATTTACATACGAAGTTTGCTAATGCATTAATTTGTAGCACCGGCTTTGGATACCATCCAAAAAAATATGCATATATGTGAAAATAGAGTTTACTGATTTATTATTATCATTTACAAGTTAACCCGCTATTGTACCCTCAACCTGCTATTGCCCCCTCCCTATAGTAGTGCCAAAAATTGCTCATTGATGGTGTGAAAAATTTGTTTGTCGCGTTCTGTTTCCATTCCATTTTCACTTATTCACTTGCATTGCTTCTGTTAGTGCGCACCTCATTTATCGTCGAGTGGGTAGTGAAAAGTACAGCGCGCCACCATTTGTGGTGATTTCAGTGTAAAATTTTATAATGCACCAATGTCTGGCAAAAACGTTTATGTAAAATTGATGAACAACATTTAGGAGTGACATCGCCTCTCTTAAGGATTACTGAAGTTAATCTTAGTCGGTGTAAATCGTGTTCACCTCCAAATCTGCTAATAATTAGCATATGTACTTTGATATATATTTCTTCGCACAGATACATATGTGTGAATATAGAAAATACTGACTTATATTCGCCGTATTCCAGTGTAAAAAGCAAAATAGTGAAGAGTGAAAAAGTGTAGATATTTTCAATGTCATTCATATACGCGTAAAATTAATTTCAATTGAATTTCGGATGTGTTTTGTAAAATAACAACTCCATACTATTGACTGCGAAACATACCGACATTGATTATTCAATAATCTGATTTGAATATATTATAAAGAGTAAAAACAAACCATTAAGGGCTAAACAGCTGGCTTTGTTGACAATAGGATTTCGTTAATCATATATTTATATCATGGTAAATATAAAAATTAGTTTTAATATTTTGTTAATTTTATATATGTAACTCAGGTGTTCATAGAAAGAGGGATAATCTGTAGTCGAGATTCCAAGATTATCCTCACATGTATGTTTGCTGTGTCTTACGTCGAAAAACTATCCTAAGATAACACAAATTTACAGTTATTTCGCGACTGTGATGCTAGGATTTTTTGAGTTGTGGTCAAGCAGTGTATTGATCAAAAAACCACCATTTACTAAATTGGTTACTTACGTAACCGCAAAGAACCCGAATTTTTATCCGGCCAAGGAAGGTTAACTCGACAGAATTCTGCCACAACCACAACAACTAAATTGACTAAAATAGCAGTACTTGATATATTCCATATTTTTCTTTCAGGTTTTGGTAGGGATTAATATCCAAGGCAACAAATGAAAAATTCTGGTTTGAATACAGATAGCATATAGTTGACAGGTCAAATCGATTGTAAAGATCTTTGTATATACAATACAAAAGGAAGCGTTATAGCTTCAATTCTGTCAAAGTCTTTTTCTTTTTCAGAGAGTGTAAAAGAAACTGACTGAGGGTATATATCACTATAATATATCAATAATATTTATCTAAAATCATCAATATCATACTGAAATATTTAGGTACTTCAAGTACCTAAAGCTTTAAACTAATAAATGAATTTAATACATATAAAAATTTAAAGAATGAATAAGTTAAGATTAGTTTTGAGAGAAGTACAATTAATATCCTAGTTGTATTTGAATGTGTATTTTAAGCGAGCAACAAGTCAATTGTGCTCTAAGTCAACTTGAGCGGCACGAATAGCATAAATATGTGTCGGTTAAACACTGCGACAAGCGCTTCGGAAAGTGGCACAGTATTTATAATTTTTATTTTTTCATACAAATTTTCGTTTTATACAAAAACATACACAAATATATACATATATGCACATATATATGTATATACTATATTTGTTCATATAGTATTTTATAAATATTGTAGAGAATACATTTTTTTTGGAGGTAATTATAATGCTTGTATATTTTTTTGAACACTCTCAATTATAGATTTTTGGTTTTTTACATCTTGCAGCTAGGCACGAAATGCACGAGTTTCCCTCAATTTAACATCAATGGGAGCTAGTTGGGATCAATGTGTAAACAAAAATCATATATCGTAGGCACGTAAATGCTAAGAACGAACGTAATTATTGTATTGTAAATGTATAATATGCAACGAGAGAAAAAATTCCGATCACTGAGTGTTACTGGACAGGAAAATGTATTTGAGAACATTTGTCTTTAGTTGCGTTCGGTATATGAGATCGATCAGATCAGGACCGTTGGTTGTGCGTTCAATCGTATTTTTAGTTATATTTAATGTGCAACACGTCGCGTTTAAATCTATTTTTGGTGATTCTGAAATTTATGGATAATATGTACGGCAACTGTGATGAAGCACTAATATGTGTAGTGGTAATACTGGCAGTTTAATAATTCACGTACTTAAAGGAATATTAAATCAAGCAAACGCTTTGATTGTTCGACGCTATGAGCTAATTATATAATATAATGGCGAATTAAATCAAGTAGATGACACTACGTTGGTTGTACCTTCTGACGTTGGTTTACGAAATCGAAAATGTCGAAATCTATGCGAAATTCGCGTCACAACAGTCGCACCGAATCCTCGAATTCGTCCTCCTCTCCCAGCAACCCACCGCGAAAGCGTGTCAAACGATGTTGTCGTAATTTCGTCACTTTTATGTGTACGCAAGTGGGTGTAGGCGCATTAATTGTACTCTATGCTATCTTTGGAGCGCTCTCCTTTATGCATATAGAACGAAAATACGTTGACGAGAAGACAGCCTATGTCAGTGAACTGCGGCATAATTGTGCAGAGAAAATGTGGAATATCACTGAAAAATTTAATACTTTTGACCGTAGCGAATGGCAAAATAATACCTTAAATATATTGCAACAATATCAAACAGAAATCGCCACATTAATAAAAAATGGCTATGTTGGACGGACACCAGAACAGATTTGGTCCTTTCCGGCGGCATTAATGTTCTGTTTATCGGTCATCACAATGATCGGTTATGGCAATATGGTACCACGTACACCTTGGGGCAAAGGTTTCACGGTCATTTATGCCACTTTTGGCATACCCCTTTATATACTATATTTCCTTAATATGGGGAAAGTGTTGGCGCGTTCATTTAAGTTCCTTTATCGCAGCTTACATGAGTGTGCGCAGGAGCGCAATACATATGAATCTCGTATGGATGCACTCGAAAATGGTAGTTTAGGTGCATTACAACGGAAAAAAATCATTGTACCATCAACTGCGTGCCTGTGGGTAATCATATCCTATATTATAACGGGTACTATTATGTTTGCGAATTGGGAGAAATGGTCTTTTCTAAACTCTTTCTACTTCTGCATGACATCATTATGCAAAATTGGTTTTGGTGATTTTGTGCCTGGTGCATCATTGATAACAGCGGCTGACATAGATGCAGCATCACTGAAAATAAAAGAAGATGCCTCTGCTGACCCCGAAGACTTGTTCAATATGCAACTAATTACTGATCAAAATTCAAAATTGGCAATTAATTTTTTCTATATGCTAATAGGCATGGGTTTGGTTTCCATGTGCTACAACTTGATGCGAGAGGCGGTACGCATGAAAATAAAGGAGATAAAAGAGGATACCAAACTATGCTTGGAGGATACACGTGCTCGATTTATGGGATGTTGTGGAACACGAGAATACTATGACGAAGACTACTACTAAATAACTTTCAAGACATTTACCCAAATATATGTGTATATATATATGTATATATTAAAACATTTATACAGAGTGTTTAGTGAGTGAGTGTGATATCGGCGTACCTATCGCGAGTGTGTAGTTTTAATTTTGTTTAGTTATCGTTTCATCGACAACGAAAGTGCTTAAGTGGTCAAAGACAGGCCACTAACAAAAAATGAATTGTGTTTATAAAAATAAATATTTACAATTTGGGGTAATTACTGACTAAGTGGGGTATGCGAATGAGCTTTCAAAACTGTTTGATTTATATTTAATGAAAAAAGAAAAACAACAAGTATTTATATAGTGGCGCACATCAAACTGAAGCGGAGCTGGGAGGAGAAATTAATTATCAATAATGGTTCGGTAAACAAATTCAAAATCCATATTCACATTTTTGAAATATATTTATTTCCTCATAAGCAATGTTTAAATAGACTATGTAACTTAGCACGAAGGTAAAAGACAAATTCTATATTAAGACATTAACGAGCTATATTTGTATGTAAATATACAAAATATATTTTGCTTTATGTATGGTGCTGTTAAATGTACACAACAGTATCGTTCTTCATTATAAAAATTTTGTTTTTACAGGCAATCATTGAACATTTTTTGAAACTACAAAAAAGGGTCACAAACTTCGGGGTAATGCTAGGCGGCAGTACGGATCGTCTATGCACACCGAGCACATCAGCTGGCCCATTTCGTATTTTTGCCGTTACTGGCTTCCAAAACCGGGCAAATGATATTGTATATTGTCCACCGATACGGCCGACAGGCAGCGAGAATGCTGAAGATTCAACTGCCGTTGTTTACTTCGGCGGAGACGTACAGGTATGTTCCACAATATAATATAAATAAAACTTTTTTTTTAATATGAACACAAAATTGATTGGCGAATGTTACAAACAATCACTCATAAATTCGACAAGCGTTAAAATGAGTTTAAAAACTTATATTTACACTTTCTCTTTCGCAAAATGATAGTGTTCTGAAACATTTATATATACCCAGATTTTAGCCACTTGAATTAAAACTCGAAGTCTTAATTTTTTTAATTATGAGTATACATATGTAGGTACCTATTAAATTGTATAAAATTCGTCTTCTTCTTGTTTTAGGACTTTCCGGAGAGCATGGAAACGAACCGAGATAGTCGCGGCTACATGAAATACAACTTAGAGAACTCTGCCATATTGCTACGTGAGGCTTTTCCGCGCGCACATATCATTGTCATCCGGCCTGTAAGGTAAACAACGATTCTTTATCTGATAGAATAGTTTTTTTTATTATTATGATAACAGAATTAAAATACTTTTATTTTCAATTGTGAACATAGAATGGAGTTCAAAACTTTTAGTTGTTTCGACAATTTTGTACGTGGTAATAACGCTGGTGTCCCCGACCATACTCCAATGAACCACGCTTTACAACATTTAGAAAAGTAAGTTGCCATCAGATGCATACCTAATAATGATACGCAATAAAAAATGTATTCATTTTATACTTTTTTTCTACAGATTACTTCAAAATCTTTCTCAACGACTGATCTCCATACCCGAAAATGAGATAATGGACCAGGCTGCTCAAGCAGCCGCCGCTGCAGCTGCTGTGGCCGCCGCCGCCGCATTGGTATCCTCTACGCTCTCCACAGCATCGACTGACACGTCCGCCTCCTCATCAGCATTGAATGATAATAATCAAGACATGGACATAGATATATTACAAGTTCAGGAGAATGTAACAGTTGATGCAGATGGGGCAGTAATATTTCCAAATGCCACCGGTGCTGGTACTGGTGGTGGAGCTAGTAGCGGAGGAGGTGTTACAGCATCGACAAATAATGCCGCTAACAGTAACATAGCGACAACGACCGCAACTCCACATAGCACTCAAAAGGCTCCTTTACAATCTACCGCCCATCAAGCACAAACAAATAACGCACATTTCAATAATATTGGTGGTGGTAGTAGCAACAGTAACGAGTGTGTAGCACAAGCACAACAACTCACCCGTCAAAATAGCAATCCTTTATGGTGGAGAGAGAATTTGAATTTAGACAAAGCGAAACTGGTTCTAATCGGCTTCAGCAAAGGATGTGTGGTCCTCAATCAAGTGAGTCACATTTGGTGTAAAAATCTGAAAATATATTACCTTTTACACTTGCATGTAATGCCTTTAAAAGTACTTTTTTTAAAATAGTTGTGTTGATTAAGCTGTATAGCATTTTTACAACCTGAGGAGGGTATATTCAGTTTGCCCCGAAGTTTCTGGCCCCAGATGGAAATGGAGACCCTTTAAAATATATATATATATAATAAGCATGACAAGCTGAGTCGATACCCGAACTAGTTCCTTAGATTTTGAGTTAAAATATTCTCCTTTCTCCCCAAGAACCGATATCAGACCACTACAGCATATAGCTCACATACAAACCGACCCATCAAACGCAAATCCTTGTATGGAAACTATTTTATTTGTGAAAGTGTAATTCAAGTTACGGTTTCTATAATATTGAGTAATTTTAGAGGCATAACTATTATAATATATTGCATATTATTCCACAAACTTCCAAGTATTGGTACATTAACTAATGTTTATTTTTATTGCAGTTCATTTATGAATTTCACTACTTAAAAACTCTAACACCAGATGATAGTACAATGATACGTTTGCTATCGCGCATCAAAGATATGTATTGGCTGGATGGTGGGCACGGTGGCCAAAAGAACACATGGATTACGTCCAGAAGCCTGCTGGAAACGCTAACAAGAATGGGTACTTACAAATCAATGCAAATTAAGTGTTTCTTATAATAAATATTAATTTTACCACACATATCACACACAGGCATGAATATTCATGTACATTTGACACCGTATCAAGTGCAGGATGATCGTCGGCCGTGGATACGAAAGGAGGAGAAAATTTTCACAGACATGCTACGACGCTTAGGGGCACCGATCACGCGTCATCTACACTATGATAGTCAAACAGCGAATTTAATGACACATTTTGAAGTGTTACAGGCTTTTTGCCAGCACATACATACGCTAAATCAGCAACAACAATTACAACAACAGCAAACAGCACAGCAGCAGCAACAACAAGCGTCGGCTCTGCAGCCGCTGCAGCAATCTTCAAGTAACATTCAAATTAATGAACAATTACAACAACAACAACAAACGCAGCTTAACAATACAAATCGTTCAGAGTTGGGCAAGGCAAGCAATAGTGGAGCGAAGTGACACCATCGCCGTCGCAATGTTGGCCGTTTACATTTGCGTAGAGTAGCAGCAGCGGCAGCAGCAGCACCGACCAGCAGCACATCGGCAACGACGTCAAAGAAAGTAATGCATGTATCGCCACAACCACAACAGCCATTACTGCAGCAGCAGCAACATCAGCATCCTCAACAACATCAACCTGTAGTCGCTACACCATCAAATTTCACATTTCTCGACATAGCAACCACATCAATTGTAAATAATTATACGCGACATTTTCCACAAAACACAAGCATACCAGCTACAGCTACAGCTACAGCCACAACAGCAGCTATACATAACCGTCAACGCCAAAAAGCGCCAAATTTGCAGAGAGTTCGACCAAGACACAATCAACGTCAGCACCAACACAGAGGTCAACCAACTAAAATTCACCATTATTCGCGTGCAAAAGGTAGACTTCTGCATCACCAGACTTGTCGTTAAATGCAACGGGCACTAAGGAATCATACAAATATATGCGTAAACATAATTATATATATTTGTGCACATACGCAATTACCAGTCCTTCGTGCTCTGCAAAATTATTATTTATCAATTAGTTTTGTGTTGTAATTTAGTATGTTAAGAAAAGTTTATTTCAATGGCGATTCATATAATCTAAAAGCATAATAATACAACAAATTCGAATTAAATTTTAATTGTAATTTATAATTGGCAGACATTCGGTCTTAAAGAATGAATGTGTATGTATAAAGTATGTCAACCGAATAGTTTAACTTGGCTTGTATTCACTGTTAGACATAAGTGCTATGAACACATTCATAAACAATTTAAATGTTGTACAATTCTTTCTCCCACTGAGACCAATGACCTTGCCGTGGAGAAAGGACCAGAATATGGTTTAAGTGGATTTTTAATGTTAGGCTACATTTAATTTAAGTATTGCTATCAAAGAGAATTTGGTGCACTAAATTTAAGCGTTAGCTCTATTCTAGGTAGATTGCTATGTATATTTAATTCAATCCATACATTTTTATAATTTTTGATAAATCTGTCACAGATCAAGTTTTTTATACACATTAATCACCATTAACCAGTGCAATTTCTTTAGACATTTACATTTATATTTGTTTTAATTTTCTATTATTTATTCACCTCTTATTTAGAATGCATTCTTTTAAGATAATTTACTTATATTCTACAAATTCGCAAACAAAAACTGCTTTTTGCTAAAAAAGAAATAAATTTATTCTTATTTAAATGCAACTTTGAGAAAAGATATTAAAATTTGAATATTATGTTCGAAATTCACACAACCATATACAAGGACTCTAAAAAATAATATTATTTGCTCAACTTATTAACAATTAATTATCATTTGATGGGGTAGGTTATAGTCAAGGTCACGAAAATTACTATTTTAAATTTTTTTTTTGTAACCAGAAGTTAGTGGTTTACAAAAAAATCGAATTAAAAAAAAATCTATCAGGCACTATTTTTTATATTTCGGATTTACTTCAAGGTCTATTTCTAAGGTATTAAACTTTCTTTTTTTTTTTTTTTTTAAATTTTGCTACCCCTAGCCCTTCGTGATAACCCTATTTGCAATCAATTGTATATATATTTTTTACAAGTGTTAAAAACTACACTATCTTGAACGTCAGCAAGTATATAATATATACATATTATCTATTATTACATATATAACGGTGTACTAGGTGTAAAACTCTTGCACTGCACGTCAAAAAACAGTTTCAAAGTTTAGTTGAAGAAGAAGTAGGTCTTACAAAATTATGTCGACGAAATGCACAAAACATATAAACTTTAAGAATACATTATAAGTAATTGCTCTTAATAAATTCTACTGATTTCAGAGTCTTTCCAATAAATAATATTTTTGTTTGCATACTACAAATGTAAAAAGCTAAATACTATTTTCGTCATATTTTTTTAAATTTATTTATTATTATTATTATTTTTTTTTTTTTTTTKTAATGAAAAACTGAAAAGAGTATGCGTCCAATTTCAATTTAATTTTGATATACAGTTTGTATTGTTTCACTCTACATACTTTGTTTAGCATTTTAGCATTTGTTCCACATAAAAGTATTAAATTTATATAATAAAATATATTCCTTTATATTTATATATGCATATTGTCCTTTTTTGCATAAAGTAAAAAAATAATTTAACTTATTATAGTAAATCTTACAATCATGAGTCAGGCCGTACAATAACATCATCAAATATTACCATAATCGTATCAAAATTCGCAAAATTTGTTTTTTAAATCTCTTGCAAATTGGCAAAGAAAAATATTACAAAAACGAAAGTAACTCATTCAGCTGATTCGCCATATAAATATTTTCTTAAAAATGTGAAATCACATAACTTAAAAACAAATACTTAGTGGTTGTAGCAGGTAGCTAGTATAAAAATTATGAGCATCACTTGAAAATAGGCGTCTCTTAAAAAAAAAGTATGTAATTTGAAAAGGATTATAAAAGTTTTGCCAAAATAAAAGACGAGTTTTACAAATTCACGATTATACATGTATACCTGTTGCAAAGCAACCAACGTTACAAAACCATTTTTAACAACAGCTACTACGGTGTGATCAACTCAACTAATACTTTTATAATTTGACAATTATTTCGTCAACAAATAAGTCAATAGAATCCACAGAACCTAGTGTACAGTAATATAAACTCGGTCGCGTACCTATAAAAGAACAGGCCTACATGTATATGTGATAAGAAGCGAGTTTGTGAAATATTAACACAAATAATAATTTTTTGTGTTGAATGTCAATAAACGCAATTACTGTGGTGCAATGACTCTGTGAAATCGGTCGACAGCAATTTCATGTAGAAAAACATTATACCATTGAAAAATAAATGTCGCTGAATTATCTATCAACATCTATCTGGTTCGCGGTTAGACTCCACCATGATTTGTTCAATAGTAACTTTACTTTTCTTGTTTTGTACAAATATTAAAATTTTTTTTTTGAGCTATTATTAAAGTTTCTTGAGGTTTGTTTTTCGAATTTGTATTTTTTTAAAATGGTGGTTTATATATCTAAAAGCAAATTTTTTGAACTTTACTATTTGAGGAAGGTATTGTTGTCTTCATGCCTTTATTCCTTTTATTTTTATAGGGGATTTGCAGTTCAATTTTTCTAATGTGGTTCGGTTTGTGAAAAATGTCTTAAACTGATAATAATAACCGTTAATATTTCCCAATTTTACTTTTACACACTTCACTTCAGTTACCATTTAAAATTATGAAAAACAGTATAAAATACGAACACAGAAATATACTTGTGAATTTACGCCATAAAAAGCATCGAAATATAAATTCACTCTAATTGAAAAATAGATTATTAAACTAAATAAATCTTTGTCATAAACGCTAATGAATTATAAATTAGGAAGTTTACTTTCATGATAAATGTACCTTTTCGAATTTGCAGTTCAAAATTGCCATATTAAAAATGCTAACCAAACCAAGCCCAAGACATTGTCGATATTTACGTATTTGTTTCAAAAATTATTCGTAAGTGATAAAAATTTTTATTTGTATATACATTTGGCTTATTGAAAATATGTCTGAAAACATTTACAAAATTACAAGTATAGATTTAGCGATGCTTGATGTAATAAGTGTGTGAAATGACCATTTCTCTTAAAAAAAATTAAATCAAATGTTAAATAACACATATACATTAGTCGACTTAATTTCAAAGCGGGCTCTATACTGTTGTAGTTGATTGAACCAATATCTACATACATATTGCAGAATTTATTCTCGACGTACGCCCTTTTGAGATTAATAACTCCTAATATAATATACAAATTATATTAAGAAGAAAAATAAATGAAAACAAAGTGAAAATATAATTTATAATTATCAACTGAAGAAATTATATTAAGTTATCCATAATTTTTGTTTGAGAATATTCCTGGTATATTTCAAATATAACTTATTAGCGTAAAGTGGTGGTTTTCGTAAATTTTTGAAAGATTTTCTTTTGTAAATGCACGTAAGTATTCTTTCCCAAGAGAAAAATGGCTTCTAAGTTAAATACTGGAATAAATAAGTTATAATCTTTATTATCATTACAAAATCTAATTACACATAATTCAATGCCCTAGTACTTAATAATTGGAAATTTTGAATATACAATCTATGAATTTTATTCTTCTTTGGGTATAGAAGCTAATTTATTCACAAATGCAAATTAGACAGACTTATAAGGCGATTTTTTTAATGCACAGCATCATTTAACATATTCGATTCAAAATCCTATTTATTTGAAACTAGATCTACATTTACTACACTAATTTTTAAGAGTATTGCTTCTAACACTAATATAACCGATAACTAAATTGTGGTGCATTACAGACACAATATATATAATTATTGTGTACATTTATTTGTACAGCTAATTGTCAACCATTCATCGCTGCCATCGCAGCAATCACAGATGCCATCATTAACACGACTACTGTGTACAAACACGTCTACGCCGCGCCCCGTGATGTGTCTTTTTTGGTATTTGCAATAAAATCTTCCATTTTGACAAGCGTTTGTGCTGGGCTCGTCACTTCCATCTGATAAACAATCGCAAAAGTCATCATTGACACGCTCAAATAGCACCTCTTTGCTACCGTCCAAACAGCGAAACTTGCCGTCGAAGTTTGGTTTATACGAATCATAATCGAACAGACGAATCCCGCTATTAAAACAATTCTGAGTAAATTAAAATTTAATTTAATTTTATATAAATTCACCGTATAATTTTTATAGAATCATCCGGAGGTTTAATTTCTAATGCCGCAACTCCCTCTCCGCCGCCTCCTCCTTCATCGTAGTCATCATTCTGTTTACGGCCAAGAGATTTTATCACTTCCAAATGTTTCTTGCGAAGCCCTTTCATCGTATCTTCTAAGCTCCATGGCGTACTTGCACTATGCAATTGATTTATGGAAAAAGCTTGATAGATTATAAACACTATGCCTAATAGGAATACTCCTAATAACAACATCTTGGACTTTTGTTTATAGAATGGTTTATAATAGATATTTTCACGTTTAACCCAAGTTTTTCGCATTTTGATTTCTACTTAATGACTTTTTGTTAATGCCAATACCTGTTTGTTTCTAATTTTTAGAAAAATAATAATTTTACTTATTCATAAATATAAAAATGTAAATGTGTCAAGAATTACTTTTGTTTACTTGCCACTGCTTTTCGATTGCTCGTGCTGCCGTGGCAAGGGTTAAGAACTGAAGGGCTGTATTCTTACAAACTAGTAATTAAAAAGTTCAATAGTTGTGAAAACAACGCTTCAAACTCTAACAACTATCAAAGCTTACTTTTATTCAACAAGAAAATTAAAAATAAAAACAGATAAACAATTAAACTGAAAATAATTTTTATCAAAGATAACTAAACTAAACGATCTGGCAGTGCCATCAAATTGATTTCAAAACAATTCAACAGCTGATTGTTATTCTTATCAAGTGCTAATAATTTTGCTTAAAGACTTTTTAATTTGTAAAGAAGTTCGAAATAATATTTAAAATGTCGGGGCCTTACAATTGGCAAAAGTCTACAGAGCGACAAAATGCGACGCAATCTCAATTAGTAGCAAACAGCTACGATATCCTAGAGCGAAGCTCTGCGAGCATACAGCGATCCAATCAAGTTGCAATTGAAACTGAACAGATAGGCACTGAAGTATGTAGAAATGTTTAAGAAAACTGTGATAATAAAATATATTTAATTTTCTTAAATTTAGGTATTATCTGAATTAAATGAGCAACGGGAATCTTTATTGCGTTCTACGCGGCGGCTTCAAGACGCAGACGCAGACATTGTGCAATCAGGAAGCGTTATAAGAAAACTGCGACGCGAAGTGCTTTATAATAAATTAATTTTAGTTGTCATTATAATTTTAGAAATGTGTATATTAGCCGGATTGCTAGTGCTCAAATTTGTACATTTTTAGCCTGATATTAATAAGGCAAAGGAATTGAATACTCTTGTAAAGGAAACCGCAATGACACAGACACCTTTCAAAACAACTATAGCATGGCGTAGAAAATCTATATAACCGAAAACCAGAACCGACCACCAGAAAAATATTTGGTGAAAAACACAACATAAAATTAACTAAGCTTTACTCGAAATCTTTCAATTCATTACACACAATTCTTTTTATTAAACATTTATGTAAACAACATTTTTCCTAGAGCATAAGCTAAACCAATATTTCCGAGTGCGTTTACGCTAAAAGTAGTGCAACATTTCTAAGAAATCTGTATTTTTATATGTATTAAATAACGATTACTAATCAATACACATCCAGACGTAAATATTTATGGGTGTATATTATAATCGTAGTAGTAGTATTTTATAAATGATATATGCATTTGTATGTATGCAGTTGTGTATATTTATAGTATGTACATAATAAATGATAAACATAATATTCAATATCTTTGTCTTTGTATATATAATTTGTATTAAAACACTTGGCGCCAACTTTCTGCATTCGTAATATTTTCATAGGTTATTTTTAGTATACATATCAATATAGGTAAAAAGATTTCAGGAAAAGTTCAGAAATATACAATATTGATAAGATGTTTAATATGTATAAAAGGTCGTATACATGGGGAACCAACAGATATTTTCCAAATTTTTGCATTCATTTAAATACATAGATGCTATAATTTTTACCGAAATTTAGTGTAACTTTAAAAATTAAAGTAATGTCAAAAAATTACTTTCGGCTATTAAAATATTAACGGAGATAGAGATTAATTTTAAAAATTAATAATCAAGTAAGTGTATACATTCTATATTTTCTCAAAGATCAATGCTGTTGCTAATTAGAGCAATTAGAATAAATCTTGCTGGTACTTATACTGGTACACAGTAATTACAACTACGGGTATTCATCTAAACACAGATTAAATAAATAAATTCTTTTTTTCCACACAATAACCGTAATTAATGTACAATTTCATAATGTATTGGAAATTCGTAACAAACAATGGTTTAAACCTTTAGTGACTTTCAATTTTCTTTCGGTAAAATTATGGACCAGCCGAATACGCGCCTATCAAAGCCACATGAAAATAAATCACAATTGAATAACGGATCTTCAGCCCAAGCTACGGAAGATACCATACGACGGTGACCCTAGAATAGCAAACATTTTTAAATGATTTCTTACATGCAACAATATATTAATTCAAACCTGTCGACTCGTTCGTGGTAATCGCGCCACACGTTGTCCATTCAAATCGAACAAACGTATTTGCCTGTTGTCATGTGGTATTGCAATAATTCCGGCGCTTGAGACAGCTAAACGGTTTACAGAGGAATCCGTACGTATAGTCGCCAGAGCAGAGCGCATGTTTCGTAATTCCCAAACTTTGACTGTGCGATCATCCGATCCAGACACTACTTTATCATCCCGCGCAAATACAGTTGACGTTACGCTTCTAAAACATTTATATAAATAAAATGTACTAAATTAATTATTACATTTATAATGTTTTACTTACTCTGTGTGTCCCTGAAATACCGATACAGCGGGAATTTCATAGCGAAAGTCCCAAAGACGAAAAGTTGAGTCGCGTGATGCTGTAACCACTAATCGTTGCGAAGCATGTGCCGAAACGTGTGTTAATTCATGGTCGTGTCCAGTCAGAGTTTGAACGGGCTCGCGAGATTCTACGTCCCACAAAATTGCTGTGCGGTCCCAGCTACCTGTTATTATTTGTCTATGATCCATGCTGGGCAACCAATCAGCAGCCACTACCACGGATGAATGTCCGCCCAGACCGGTAAACTCGCACAAAGGTGTGCGCAACGTGTCGACCCGATCTCGATCTTCCACTTGTTCATCACTGTCGTCGAGCTCTTCCTCTGAGGAATGACCTCTCCTTAAGATATCATATGAATATATTTATTAACTCATTAGCAGTTTTAAAATTAAAGAATATATATTGGAAATTACTTGGAAGATTCCCAGTTAACAGCTGCTTGCCAAATGTGTGCTGTGCCATCGCCACTACCTGTTAATACTAAGTCGCGATTCTGATGAAACTTTACTGAATTCACAGAGCCAGCATGTCCTTGATATTGTAGAAGGCATCGACCATTTTCGATACCCCAAATGCACGCGGTATGGTCTGCCGAGGCTGAGCCTATAATTGGCTGACCAACCTTGGCAGTTACTTGCCAAACACCATCCTTATGCCCGCAGAATTCTCGCGTTACTTGGCTAACCACTGTTTGTGCTTTGAAACTTGATACAATTCGACTCGTTTGCGCTTTAATTTTATTGCTGGCTTTCACTTTGTTACTGCTTGATGTAAATTTTGCTTTCAGACCCTTACTTCCGCCACCACCAATAATTGAAGCAAGTGCGGTAGAATCTCCATCATCATGTCCAAATGCGGATGTAACATTTGTTTGGATCGTACTAGTTAGGGCCGTATTCGATGTATTTCCTGCAATAATGTTTGTACCACTACCACCTGCAGCAATTACTCCAGCTGAGCGTTCATATGAGCTAATCAGATCTTTGCTCATGCAGTGATCAAGTTTCTCTTGCACTATTTTATTTACAATAACTGGTATTACTACCGTTATTTGATTTAAAAAAATTTAGAATACTTACAACTTAAATTTTCCAAATATAACAGTTCAAATTCTTTTTCTATCTGACCAAATAGTGAGTGCAGGCGGGCTCGAAACGGTGCATCCTCCGGTATGGTGATATCTTCTGCCAAACTGGACAATCGATGTTTGGACGGCTTCATATTCGGTTAGTTCTTTTTAAATTCGGTTGTTTTACAATTTTTTTATATTTTAACAATTTTCAGTTTTCTGTACGCGTTAGTATTACTTGTACACCCACATACCGATCGAATAAATTCCGATGCAATACTACAGATTCTCCTCGGTACGAAAATATGTCTTCTTGATAATTTAATTAACGTTTGTTTATTTTCTGCATTGCTACATATTTTCTACTGCTGTATACATTTAATACGAGACTTATCTGGATGCAGCTGAAAACGTATGCCTCTTCTAGTAAACGGTTAACCACATTCACAATAAAAAACACAGGTAGGCTGCAAAACTGAGATGAGAAGAAAAGGAATTTAATAGAATAAAATTACGTTACCGTTACCTATACGTCAATTGTGTAAATTTAAAAGCCAGGGTATGTCACAAAATATTGATCATGAGTTTTTAAATATTGAAAGGTTCTTTATCTAAAGCAGTTGGATGTACTTTACCAGAATAAACTCATGTATATACATATATGCCAAGTTACCCAGCAGAACTTGATTAAAATTTCAATGAATAAAGCAAATAGAAGGCAGTTTGCATGCGAGTAACACTTTAATTAAAAATAATAATGAACAGAAACACACAAAATTTAAAGAAGAGTGAAAATTTTATTAAATTGAAATCCCCTTTAAAACTTATTTGTCTCGTCCCATATGATTGGTTAAAATCAAATGACACAAAGCAATCGGTATGTTTAGTTTCTCAGCAATTTGTTTTATGGTGATTCGACGATAGATTGATACTATTTCCTACACTTGATTCATGTTATTAACTTTTCTTTACGTGATCGGGTGTCCATAAGGGATATGAGTATACCTGGAAAAATCCAAATTCGCGAAAATTTTGGAACAAACGTCGTATCATAGGATGGTATCTGCGGTAGCACCTTTTTGAACTTTTTGATATTACCGCACGGATCTAATTAATTTCAATATAATTTAAATTTTTTTTTTGACCATATGCCACTGCATTTAACTGTTCATTTTATAATTATGCTACATATAAAAATTTTCTTTTCGCAAATTAATGAGACTAAAATATTTTGCTCACAATAAGACCAACTAAGCACTTTGGATTACCTTGTCGGGCATAGTGGATTTCTGAGTATTTAAAACGTGCTGGAAACCCTAATGGCTGGAATGCAGAAAAGTTGGCAATCTTGCACTTGTTGATTGTAAAATTTCACTCGTAGCGAAATTTGCTTTGTGATATTTAACAAGAAAATTAAAGTTTAAAAAAATAAAGTGAAAATTTATTTATACAATGAGTAGTAAGAAATTGAAAGAGACAGACAATATAGAAAATTTATGTCCGACAACAAGGTAAAGGAAATTCTATTTAAAATGTGTTAAATCTTTGATAAGCGGACCTCATTCATAAAACATACGTACTAGTGTTGTTGGGTGGTGTAGTTTGAATAAAAAATTACCCGAGAAATGGCGCAAATATGTGACAGAAATGACAGCGTTGGCGCACATTGGCGGCAACGTGTCGGTCAATAGTGCGTATGAAACACAGTTCGCCGCAAAAATTGTGGCGCTCAATGTGGGTGTGTAGTGTTTTGGTTTTGTATACAATGCATTTGTGTTTGTGTGTTTGTCAACGAATAAGAGCAGAAGGGAAGATAACCGATCGCTGCCGAATGACAATCATTGGCAGACTACCATCCATCAAATATAATTGTTGTCAAACAAAACACGGTGCATTTTGGTCGTATCTGTAGAATTGGTGTACATCAAATGCATTTTAAAGTTTATAAGTGAATTGCACAGTTACAAGCTCAAATTAAATTATATGCAGATTATATATACATAAGTGATTTCTAGAAAAAATATACATCCTGAAAGTGCTTTTCACGTATGTTACACTAACTTCCATAGACCGTCTTTTCCAAAAGTCATTGACTTTCAGCCTTATCTTTAATATTGAATTACATTCAGCAGTGGAAAATAGTGCAAACATTTACTAATTTTCAAAAGCATTTTTGCTGATTAATTAAATAAGAGGTTTGTGACCTTAAGCAATTAACGTGACAAAAATAAATTAGTGATATATCATTTATAAGTTTGCAGTAAAATAAATAAAAAAATAAATTATTTACAGAAAGCGCGTCAAAAATAACCTAGTCACAAATTGGAAAATTGCTAAGATTGACTCGAACTCATCCCCAACCGTCCGTACAAACGAACATTTGGACGAGATGGGCATTGGAATGCTCGACTCGGAAGAGAGCTCGTCATCTGCCGCTTCCGCTATAGCATTAGTGTTGAGCGCCAGTGCAGATGAAAATTCTAATGGAGTCACTCCTAATTTGGATGCGCCAAAGATGTGCCACCAACGTTATACGGCCTATCGCACACTAGATAACACCTTAGACAGTACTTTTAATAGTGACACTTGCGATAATACAACAATAGCCACCCCAGGCAGAGGACTTATTGAAACAGATTGTATTAATATAAGCCAGCATTGCAATAACAATAATAACATCGTAATGGATGCATATGGTGATAACAATAATAAACTGAATTCGCAACAACAAAGCGGAGATAAGGTATTACTTCCATATAGGAAGGTGGCTATACTTGGTATGGGTGCGGGGAATCCTACCAGCAGCTCATCAACGCATACAACGGCAATCGTCACCCCATCCTACGCAACAAATTCAAATTCGAATTCGCCTTCTGCTGGAAGAAGCACTCGCAGTCCTTTGGCTATCGTGTCAGGAAACAGCAACATTCGTGCACCTCGAAGTACTACACAACATAATCAACCGCAGCAGGTATTCTTGAAATCAGTTAAAAAATAACAAAAATTAAGTTTTAATAAATTTTTTTGCAGAATATTGGTGTTGCGACTATAAATACTTCAAATGCTTTTAATAATAATGGGGCATCGCCAAATAGTTACATGTGCATGCCTTCAACAAGTAAACAATCACTTCTTAGACAACAACAGCGGCAACAGCCGCAGCAACAACAACAGCATTCTCAAATTCAAAATAAAAGTCAAAATCGTACATTGCAAACGGCAAATGAACAACAACCGCCTATGGTTGTATATGATAACTTCTTTTTGTTTAGACAACAACAGTTGCGGGATCATATTTCCGATGGCAAAGATCATTTTAGCACATTATCGGATGAGATAATTTTACAAATTTTCAAATGGTTGCCGAAGAAAGCACTAATTCGTTGCAGTTATGTTTGCCGACGATTTAATAGATGTGCCAGCGATGAATCACTGTGGACGCGTTTGGATTTAGGAGGACGCCACCTGCGTGCAGGTGCTCTGGAAAATATTCTCACTCGCGGTGTGGTTATAATGCGTTTGGCCCAAGCTGAGGTGAGTACCATTTTTATTTTTTCGAAATATTCTCAATATATTTACATTTGCTTTATTAATTTTCAGCTGAGCCATCCCGTTTTCGATAGTGACTTTCTACACGCCGAACCAAAATTCGAATCAAAGTTACAGTATTTAGATCTAAGTATGGTATCGGTTGCTAAGCCCTCACTCAAGATGCTTTTATCACGCTGTCGGCAATTGAAAAAGCTCAGCTTAGAGCATGTACCAATTAACGATGAAATTTGCAATGAAATAGCAAAGAATGCCAACTTAGAGGCACTAAACCTAGCCATGTGTATTGGATTGGAGGCGTGGAGCGTGCGCAAGATAATGGAGTCATTAAAAAATTTAAACAGCCTAAATATTTCTTGGACAAATCTGTCTGTAGATGCCGTTACATCGGTGGTGACAAATGTAACACCAAATCTCTTGCGATTAAATATGGCAGGTTGCCGTAAAACATTGTATGATTCTCGTAAGTTTTCACAATATATTTTACAAATCGGCTAGAGAATTAGTGTCTAATATTTTTGCCATTTCTATTTGTGGCATTTCTAGATGTGGCGAGCTTAGCTAAACGGTGTCCACAACTTTTAGAAATTGATTTTTCCGATTGCACTGCATTGACCGGCAATGTCATTAACATTATTTGCAGATTTAAAATGCTTGAATACTTGTCACTTTCGCGCTGCTACCTTATCCCTGCCTCTGCCTATATGTAAGTAAATGTGTCTATATTAATGTTTGCCAAACACTTACGATTGCTTTTGTTTTAGGGAGCTAAACAACTTGCCCACACTAACCTATCTTGACATATTTGGTATGCTCTCAGAGACTGGAATGGAATTACTAGAGCAAAACTTTCCCAATATAGGAATTAATAAATTCATACATAGTTCGGTGGCTAGACCGACAGTGGGCACACGCCGCACATCAGTGTGGGGTCTTCGTACTCGTGACTAGAATACAAACATAGACGAAAATAACATGTGTATTAGTCTTAGAAACGGCACAGAAATCCCTTGCAGTTTTGTATTAGTTTTTTAATTCTTTGTTTTATATATGATACAATTAGCTTCTAATAAAATTGTCATAATGTCAAAAATCGTTTGAGAGAAACATTAATTATGTTAAATATTCTGAAGGAATTCAACATTTCATTGTTCTAGTTTTATTAAGGTTACAATTAGTGTTGTCTTTTCGTATACCTACTATAAATAAACTTATAAGATCATTTGTTTACATCTAAATAACGGTTGTTATTAATCATTAAAAACAAGAAAAAACGGTAGCTTCGACTGCACAAGTGCGGAAGAGTTCGGGTATAACCGATATATCTCAAGTTACAGCTGGCACCGACAGGCAGACGGACGAAGAGGCAGGGGCCTCGTAAATGTATTTTATTCAAATTCGGATCTACTTTATAATTATGCGAATGTTGTACCACCCTGCGCCAGAATAAATACGTACAATTTTCGTTTTTGCTTTCTACAACTCAAAAGCTAACGAAGAGTTACAGAATATAAAAAAAAGCCGAATTCAAGTAAATTTTTTTTCGAATCGAGTTAGTTACAGAATAGGGCCACAGACTCCGGATTTCAGCTCGTCCAGTCATCTTGACCGTACATAAACCTATTTCTCTCTCGATTAAATTTAGGTCACACAAACAACCGGTAGACTCTGTAGCAACATGTTGCAAGAGCATATAGTAAATATGCTGTCAGTAAAAGTCAAAAAAGCAATCAATAATTTTTATCGCTAGAATATCATTTGCATATTTTATTAAACTTATGCAATCTTAATAATTTCAAGAACAAAAAAAAAATAATAAAATGAGTTACAAAATGTAAGTATATATTGCATGTATAAAACACAAGAATTTAAAAAGGGTACATAACTAT